CGTCCCCGATTTTATTGGAGAACCATTGGCCAAAAAAATGTTCAGGCCATGCTCCTTGGTGAATCTGCTGCTGGGCTGCGAAGCGAAGGTCAATAAAGCAGCTACACGCCCCGGAGTCAATAATAGCTGTCACTTGTACGATTCTTTCGGGGAGCTGAAAAGACACTAGTACAGCCAAGTGAGTGGGGTTGCCTGTGCACACAGGAGACATAGCAGAAATAATGGAAGACTTATGGAACCTTTCTGGACAGGAGCACACCATGTGACCCGCTGCAGTAGAGGCACAGGTTGTTCGACCGATGTCTCTGGCATTCCTCTGTTGAGAGGGAAGGCCGCATCAGACTGAGCTGCTTGGGCTCAGCCCCATCTGACGGTTCCAGACTCCGATTGCTGACACTGACCCTTGGCAAGACTGGTACCCATGGCAGCATCCAGGCAGGTCTTAGCCCCTGGCTGGACCTCTCCTGTCTCCGTTCCCACAACTTACGGTCACTCTGGATGGCCCAGTTTATTAGGTCCTCCAAGGAGTCAGGTACTCCTACTCTTGCCAATTCAACTTTTAGAGGGTCAGACAATCCTAACCGAAATTGATAACGCAAGGACGCGTCATTCCACAGAGTGTCTCCACTCCAACGCCTAAATTTGGATGCATAGTCCTCCGCAGCCCGGCGTCCCTGCTGTAAGGAATAGAGAGCGGCCTCAGCGGCTCGATTCGCGGGTCATCATAAAGCTGCACCATTGCCTTGAAAAAGGTAGTAACGGAGTTCAGGTGTGGGTGGCGAGTCTCCATCAGGCGGTGAGCCCATCCCTGGGGTTCACCCTGCAACAAGGATATAATGAATCCTACCTTCACAGATTCAGTTGGAAAAGTCAGAGGTTGTAGATAAAAATATAGCTGGCAGCAGTTCTGGAAGGCCCTGAACTTTCCTTGATCCCCATTGAACCGCTCGGGTGTTGGCACACGCGGTTCTGGCAGAGGGATGGAGAATGCTGCTCCAGTGGAAGGTTCAGCGGAGCCCCTGGCAGAAGGCGCACTCACCGGGTCTGATGTTATGGGCGCAGGTGCGGGTAGGCTCTGAACCCATCCCTCCAAATGTTTATATCCTTCTTCTAGTGTTTTAATGGCCTGTGTGAGCGCCGCCAGGTGTTGGCATATCTGTTCCCAGGGAGATGGTCCTCCTCCAGACTCTGTCATGGCCATATGGTTCTGTTAGGGCCCTGCCGGCGGTAGCCTCTAGCGCTCTACAGATCAGAATTCCCCAAGGCGCGGAATCTAAGCCCCGACCTGCTTGTTCACCAGGGCCCCTGATGGTGGGGATGGATTTGGAGCAGGCTGAAACCAGGTCGCGGCCCCTGGGTGCACCCAGCTGTGGTAGAAGCACCACCAGAGGTGTATAGCAGGTAAGAGCCTGATGTAAGGAGGTAGAGAGGGAGCGGAGTCAGACAGGCCGAGTCGGTAGTGGTGGAGGCAGGACGGTACAAGGGGTAGGCAGAAGGATAAGCTGGTCACAAGCCGGGTTCGGTAACAGGAGATCAAACGGGCAGGATTAGACAGGAGAATGGTCAGACAAGCCAGGGATCAGAGAAGGAGACAGTCAGCGAATCAGGGTCAGGCAGGGTCGGCAACAAGCTAATCTCAGGAAACACAGGATACAGGTAAAGACCATACGGCAACTAGAGGACAGACATGACCTGTTTAAATAGGGTGCCCTGCGCCCTCATTGGTGCCAGGCGCGCGTCACGACGAGTGCGCATGCACGACCGCGCCGCTGCGGTCGTGGGTGCCCAGGTCCTAATGCTCGCACGCTAGTGAGCCTCGGCATGCGCAGACCCATGCGCCGAGGTAAGGTCTGGGGTCCCTGACAGAGGTATTGGATTGCTTGACATTACTTATTACAGGGCCTGCCACGTGGCAAGAATAGTAGACTGGTCTACAAACCATGCCCGTAAGGCCTGGGTGAGCCTGGAAGCTGCCTTTTCGGTGACCCCGCTAGCCACGTCTCCATGGCTGGGGAAAAAAAAAAAAAAAATCACATGTCCCATCCAACTTCAGGGAACACTCGCTAATCGGCCCAACATGGTCTTGCTACCACTTGATAGGTCAGAAGTCAGGTCTTTCCTCAACTCCTGGTCCACTCACACCTATCCAAATGAACCCTTACCCCCCCCCCCGGTATGTCTAATATGTTCCTTGCTGGGACCCTCCCTCAAGAACACCTGAGACTATACCATCTTTTCAAGGATGGTGTCTTTTTGACAAGAGAATGCCTTCTGAACCAATGGCTAACTCTAACCTTGACGCCATGGATGTATAGGCAACTCTCTCACTTCATACATAGCTCGCCACGTCTCAAAGAACATGCTAGACCTCTTACTCAATTTGAGAATCTCTGCTCCACAGATTCCCCACAGAGACATGTGGGCTCCAAACTATACACATGCCTTGAAAACACCATTGACATCACGTCTAGAAAGGCTTGCGTGGCCTGGAGTGATGATTTCCAACTGCATTTGGCCCCCAACGATTGGGACCATTTGTATGGCCATATACACAAAAGGTTCCATGTGTGTTTCAACCCAGGAAAATTATAAACTGTACTCAAGATTGTACAGAGTTCCATCTATGCTCCAAGATTTGATCCTAACATTCCCGACTCCTGTTGGAGATGCCACCAAGCGATGGGTACACTTCTACATATATGGTGGGAATGCCCAATGCTTCAACCATTCGGGGAAAAAATACAGTCCATAACTGCTCAAGTAACAACTTACTCCCTAGTTTTATCTCCTGCACAATTCTTACTCCTCATCCCCTATAAGACATACTTCAAATCCCTCGCCATGCATATGATAAATGCGGCAAAACAATGTATCCCAATTCACTGGCGCTCAACACATATCCCCTCAATCTGAGAATGGTTTGCATGGATAAACAAAATTGCTGACATGGAGGAACTCATCTCTGTAGCAAAAGATTGCCCCGAGAAATTCAGGAAGACGTGGGCCTGTTGGAGTCACTTCAAAACCACCACCACTTATCACCAACTGCTGCTTGACTCCTCTCCTTCCCCCACTTAAACTTACGACGACGATTGTCAGGAATAAGTAACTTTTCTCAAGGTTCCTGGATATAATATACACCTTACCGGACTGAGACCGAATATTACGGCCCAAATATCAAGGAAACGGACCTTTATAGTGGACTACTGCACAAGCCTACCTAGATTGCCATGTGAGACATCTGACTGTTGCTTGGACTAGTTTAAAATGGTTTGACCTGGAGTAGTTGCATTTTTTTCCTCCATCTCTCTCCCCTCTTCTTACTTCTCTCTTTCTCTCCCTCCCGCTTCATCTTATCCAGGGGCGGACTGACAACTCATGGGGCCCCCAGGCAATAGGGGATCATGGGGCCCGTGTCCATGCCCACACTCAAAGCACACCACCAAAAAAATCCTATAAAAAAGGTACCAAGGGCATTTCATGGGCCCCCTACTGATCCCGGGCCCTGCCTGAGTGCTTGAATGGTCAGTCCACCCCTGGCCTTATCCCACATCCTTATCATTACCTTCTCATTTCTCTGAGTTCAAATGAATCTAAAATATTAGCAGTCCTACAGGTACAACTGCAGCTCCTCAGCCTCCGCCCCTTAGGGGTAGATACCCGATTATCTACTGTTCTCGCCATCCTCTCACATTGTACCTAGGGGCGGACTGACCACTCATGGGGGCCCCGGGCAATATGGGGATCATGGGGCCCGTGTCCTCACAAACACTCAAAAAAGCCAATGAAAGGTACCAGGGGTATCTCATGGGCCCCCCTACTGACCCTGGGCCCTCGGGCAGTGCCCGAGTTCCCAAATGATCAGTCCGCCCCTAGTTGTACCCCATCACATCTGTCATTTAAGGGGGCTCCCATGAGGTTTGGTTGATATCAATACTCTACTGATCCGTTCATATTATTGTATGCCTCTCCTGGTTTGGAGCATCTTCTCTCCTAGGTTTCTGTCCTTTTGTATCAATCTATGTTACTTGATGACATTATATATGTTCCAGACCTACACCCCGTCTGAGAATCGGGCAGTTGTTGAGCTGTGTCTATGATCCGAATGGAACCTGTATTTGTTACCACTCTGCTTTCATTTATCTTCAATAAAATTGTTTTTGAAAAAAAAAAAAAAATACCAATGTGTCCTCTGCCATGGGCTCCAGATGCTATCTTGGGGGAGCTGGGTCTGATTGAACAAAGTCTTTGAGAGAATTAGGCAGCCATCCTTGAGACAGAGAGATTGTATAAAGCCCAGATGGGTCAGTCTGGGAGCCTTGCAGTTTGTGGAAAGCAGGTAGGGACAGATAGGCTGAGCCTAGAATCAGGTTCCTGTGTAGAAGGGATAGTCTAGGGGCATCCTTGACACCTCATGTTTGTACCAGGTGACGGGACAGCCCTGGGAACTCAGCACAGGGATGGTGGGAACCCCTCATAATGGGCACAGCATGTGTACAGACCCAGTGACTCAGCACAGGGATGGTGGGAACCCCTCATAATGGGCACAGCGGGAGTACAGACCCGGGAACTCAGCACAGGGATGGTGGGAACCCCTCATAATGGGCACAGCGGGAGTACAGACCCAGGAACTCAGCACAGGGACTGTGGGAACCCCTCATAATGGGCACAGCGGGCGTGCAGACCCGGGAACTCAGCACAGAGATGGTGGGAACCCCTCATAATGGGCACAACGGATGCACAGACCAAGGAACTCAGCACAGGTACATACAGTGAGATATCAGTTGTGGGAGGGAGAGTGGAGCCCCCCCATAGACTCTAATAATAATCTTACAGTCATACAGGGCCTCCATATCACATTTCCAGGGGCAGCTGGTCTCCAGGAGACTGGCATTAGCTCTGGTTGGAATTCCATTCACACTTCCGAGGGGGGGGGGGGGTGAGGACTGTTGGGGGTTATCTGCTACCTTTCTATAGGAATAGAAATCCCATCATCCCACCTTTATCATCCGTATGATCTCCTCGCAGTCCCCCGGCTCCGCCGCTCGCACCCTGTATCCAGCCATGGTGTCGCTCACATACGCCGCACACTCTGTGACCCCTCTCCTCTGACAAGCAAGCCTCAACACCTTATCTGGTCAGAGTCCACCCAGACTGCAGGAGAGTCTCACTCCTCCTGTCACACTCCTGGGTCTGATGACCTGGTGGAGATTTAACCCCTTGTTGGCAGTCACCTGATCTGAGATCAGATCATAGAGAATGATTGTGGAAGAGGAAACAATGTATCCAGTAATCTGAGCTCAGCCCCTCCCCCTGGTGAAGAATTTAACCTCTTGTTGGCAGTTCACTGCTGAAGAATCTGCTGCCAGGGATTCCACTCATCTGTACCAGACCTGTATCCTAGATATACAGGTGAAACTCAAAAAATTAGAATATCGTGCAAAAGTTCATTTATTTCAGTGCAGCAACTTAAAAGGTGAAACTAATATATGAGACTCACTCCATGCAAAGCAAGATAGTTCCAGCCGTGATTTGTCATCATTGTGATGATTATGGCTTACAGCTCATGAAAACCCCAAATCCACAATCTCAGAAAATGAGAATATTCCATGCAATCAATAAAACACGGATTGTACATAGAACAATATCACACCTCTGAAAAGTAGAAGCTGCATATGTACTCAGTACTTGGTTGGGGCCCCTTTTGCAGCAATTACTGCCTCAATGCGGCGTGGCATGGAAGCTATCAGCCTGTGGCACTGCTGAGGTGTTATGGAAGACCAGGATGCTTCAATAGCGGCCTTCAGCTCTTCTGCATTGTTCGGTCTCATGTCTCTCATCTTTCTCTTGGCAATGCCCCATAGATTCTCTATGGGGTTCAGGTCAGGCGAGTTTGCTGGCAAATCAAGCACAGTAATCCCACGGTCATTGAACCAGGTTTTGGTGCTTTTGGCAGTGTGGGCGGAGCCAAGTCCTGCTGGAAAATGAAGTCAGCATCCCCATAAAGCTGGTCTGCGGAAGGAAGCATGAAGTGCTCCAAAATCTCCTGGTAGACAGCTGCGTTGACCCTGGACTTAATGAAGCACAGTGGACCAACACCAGCAGATGACATGGCTCCCCAAATCAACACAGACTGTGGAAACTTCACACTGGACTTCAAGCATCTTGCAGTGTGTGCCTCTCCATTCTTCCTCCATACTCGGGGTCCTTGGGCCCCTCCATTCTTCCTCCATACTCGGGGTCCTTGGGCCTCTCCATTCTTCCTCCATACTCGGGGTCCTTGGGCCTCTCCATTCTTCTTCCCTACTCGGGGTCCTTGGGCCTCTCCATTCTTCCTCCATTCTCGGGGTCCTTGGGCCTCTCCATTCTTCCTCCATACTCGGGGTCCTTGGGCCTCTCCATTCTTCCTCCATACTCGGGGTCCTTGGGCCTCTCCATTCTTCCTCCATACTCGGGGTCCTTGGGCCTCTCCATTCTTCTTCCATACTCGGGGTCCTTGGGCCTCTCCATTCTTCCTCCATTCTCGGGGTCCTTGGGCCTCTCCATTCTTCCTCCATACTCTGGGTCCTTGTTTTCAAAATGAGATGCAAAAGTTGCTCTCATCAGAAAAGAGGACTTTGGACCACTGAGGACAGACCAGGTCTGCTTTTCTTTAGCCCAGGTAAGACGCTTCTGACGTTGTTTGTTGTTCAGGAGCAGCTTGACAAGAGGAATACAACATTTGAAGCCCATGTCCAGAATCTGTCTGTGTGTGGTGGCTCTTGATGCACTGACTCCAGCCTCAGTCCACTCCTTGTGAAAATCCCCAACACTTTTGAATGGCCTTTTCCTGACACTCCTCTCCAGGCTGCGGTCATCCCTGCTACTTTTGCACCTTTTTCTTCCACACTTTTCCCTTCCACATAACTTTCTATTAATGTGCTTTGATACAGCACTTTGGGAACATCCAACTTCTTCTGCAATGACCTTTTGAGGCTTTCCCTCCTTATGGAGGGTGTCAGTGATGGTGTCAGGTCAGCAGTCTTTCCCATGATTGTTATTCCTACTGAACCAGACTGAGAGACCATTTAAAGGCTCAGGAACCCTTTGCAGGTGTTATGGCTGAATGAGCTGATTAGAGTGGGACACTTTGAGCCGAGAATATTCCACCTTTTCACAATATTCTCATTTTCTGAGATTGTGGATTTGGGGTTTTCATGAGCTGTAAGCCATAATCATCACAATGATGACAAATCACGGCTTGAACTATCTTGCTTTGCATGGAATGAGTCTCATATATTAGTTTCACCTTTTAAGTTGCTGCACTGAAATAATCGCAAGAGATGAATAACAACTGTTTGTGATAGCATGGATCATGACAGGTCCTCTTTATGGAGTGATCTGATGTCTTGTTAGACACCAGATCAATCTTCTGCCCCTCTCCAAAGTATCTGATCAAACTAAAGATAGATTTGATTAGAGGTTATAGGGATATATTAGTTTCACCTTTTAAGTTGCTGCACTGAAATAAATAATCTTTTGCACCATATTCTAATTTTTTGAGTTTCTTCTGTAGTAATGTTAATGGGGGGACCTCCCAACACCCCAAAAAATGGTGTGGAGTTCCCCTCAAGAATACACACCAGACCCTCATCTGATAAAAAAGTATGAGCAAACGAATGCTGAAACTCCTGTGCTGGAGGATGAGCTCCACAATGTCAGGAACCCCCAACATGGAGTACTTATTGGGCATGCAAGCCTTGCTGCCCTCAATGGACCAGGGAAATCCAAAGGAGCTGAGTGTCAGGAAACCAACCGAGGGCGCAGAGTTCACCTTCTAAAAATGAGATTTATTAAATAAAAAGTAATATATTCACAAAAGGATACAAATCAAAGGTACATCACAAAAAAGACAGCATGGTCCAATCTCCCTAGATGGTGGCTGGTGGGGGACTGTAGGCCTCCAAATGGTTGGCATGTTTCGAGGCAGAACCTCTTCCTCAGAGCCCCCTCATCTGAGCCTACAGACTGGTTGTTAGCGATTCGGGTTTGACCAGAGGTGTGTGGACTGACACAGGGAAACGCAGACTTCAGGTATGGTGTAATAATAATATTTATTATTAGCTGCACAAATAAACCAATAGGTACACAGTGCAGTCAGGGCTGGAGAGGTGGAGTGGTCAGGCAGGCCAAGCCCACAGCATGGATTTCCTCAGGGCGCGGGGTCTAAGTCCCAGCCTGCTATTCACCAGGGCCCCTGATGGTGGGGATGGACTTGGTGCAGAACCAGGTCACGACCCCTGAGTGCGTCCGGCTGTGGTAGAGAGTGCTGGCAGGTCCAGGTCCGAGCGGGATGGATGGATGGATGACAGTCAGGAGCGACGTGGTCAGACTAGCCGGGTCAGTAACGGTGGGGACAGGCACGGTACAAGCAGCAAACAAGGGTAGTCAGGTCACACGCCGGGTTCAGTAACTCACGGGCAGCACGGTATAGAGGATCAGGCAGAAGGATGGTCAGGGACGAGCCGGGGGTCAGAGCAGGAGAATGTCAGCATGGATCAGAACAGGCAGGGTCGGCAACAAGGAACGCACTACAGGAACACAGTTAACAGGAATCAGGAACAGGATACAGGGGCTCATGGGCAACATACACCAAGGCCCAGATCACAGGCTGGTCATTCCTTATATGCACCTCCTGCAATCAGCCTCAGGTGTTTTGGCTGATTGCAGGAATGAGCCTCTGGTTGCTGAGAGCACCCGCTGGCCAGCCCTGGTACTGCAACCCACAAGGCAGGTGAGTCCCACCACTATTGGCGAGTCCATTCCTGACACTGGTAGTCCAGGACAGGAAGGAGGGAGGTGCAGGCTCCCTGAACCATTCCAGGCCACATTCCTTCAACATAGGGGGTACCTAGAGTGGCCACCTCATCCCTTCAAACCCGAACACATATTAATGACACGGGTTCTGAGGCCAATTTAATGCAGATAAGGCACTAAGTGAGTATAAGTACCACCTTAATCAGCCACAGAACCCGTGGCATCAATGTGTTCGGTTTTAAAGGGATGAGGTGGCCACCCTAGGGGTAAAAGAAGATAAAAGGAAATGATGCAGCGCTACTCTAAAGATACAAATCATATAATATACCTAATAAATACATAATATAAATAAATATGAAAGCATATAAATAAAGTGACACAATATTCTGCATGATAGAGGCACACAGATATGTTCACTACTGTTTGGATTATCTGTTGGTTTATTTTATATGTATTTATCTGTATTTGGACACTATGTAGTGTTTGGGGTTCATTTATCTTTTATGCATGCTTTATACACTTTTGGTATGCACCTGAATGCGTTTTTCTTGATTTGAGTCCAAATTTTGGACATGTCACCTATTAGTCCCCATTTGGACTAATGCAAGCCACAGACGGGTCGAAAATCGACCAATTTTTCAGCGGAAAAAAAAATCAGCCGATTTTCGCACCGTTAGTGGGTTAATTGATCGGCTGTTTTTCAAGGTTTTGGCACATATTTTTTATCTGTAAAGTTGGAAAATTTTGACGATCGGCCAATTTTCCCAGCAATGATGGGCAAATCGGCCGATCGTTTTACCGATAAAAAAAAAATCTGCACATGAGCCGTGACCTGCAAGAAGAGAAAAAGAAGAAGAGGAAAAAGAAGAAGAAAAAGAGGAAGAGGAAGCAGAAGAAGAAGAAGAAGAAGAAAAAAAAAAAGAAAAAAGAAAAAGAAGAAGAATTCCAGTCCGCTATTATATTTTATATGAAAAGTCTTGCGGTTGCAACAATATCTATTTGTATCTGAATAAAAAACATCTGTATCCGAAATGGATACAAATGGATACATTGTTGCAACCGCAAGACTTTTTTCTTGTAAAATATAATAGCAGAGCTCTCTGCAAGGGACAGAAGTAAAAATGCCGGCCGTAGACGGGAAGAAATTCGGCCGATTTTTTTACCGTTGGTGGTAACGTCGGCCGATTGAACGACCGATTTTTGTTTTTTTTTTGTTTTCGACCCGTCTATGGCCTGCATTCGTTTATATATTCTTTTTATTGATATTCAC